TGCTCGCGGAGAGGGAGTGGTAGCGCGTGGACTTGATGAGCTGCGGCAGGCCCGCGAACACGCCGCGGCCGTCGTGCCGGATCTGGGAGACCTTGCCGTGCATGATCTCGCCGGCGTACCTGTGAGCGGAGATGAGTACGGGATGAAGAGCATATGCTGGGGGCATTTCCGTGGAGCGACGTCGTGAATGGCAGACGCAATAGCGGTCATGAACGGTGCAGATAAGCACGGCAGCGGACAGAAATACAGGCAAACATGTGTCAAGGGGCCCATGCCAGCCCATGAGCAGAAATGCCCACTTGCCTCCACATCGAATACCGTACAATAGATAGCTCGCGCTCGATTTCCTACATGCTACCATGATGGAAGCCACTTGCACTTCTCGCGCTGGAGTGTATGTTCACGTCTGTGCACGGTGCATGGTGCAGAGCCGTCTCAGGCACCGTATTAGCCACGGCTTCAGCGAGACACTCGTGGTCCTCATGTCCGAAAAGACCGTGGCTACTTGGGAATAAGAAAAGAAGAAGGTAGGTGACGCGACATGCCCGTCAAAGACACCTACTGAACACGCGAGACAGTTCGATGGGGCATTTCCGCGTGAGAATGGGAGACATCGCGAACGGCAGACGGTCGTGATCTGGTAGCGGTAATGAACGGCGCAGATGAACACGGCGGCGGACAGGCAAACGTGTGTGTCAAGGGGCCCATGAGGTCGGTGCAAGAGATTTACATTCTTTTGAAAACGGATGTCACTTGCACTTCTCGCGCTGGAGTATGTGCGCGGGCGGGCCGTGAAGCACCCTATTAGCCACGGCTTTAGCTGAGACACTCGCGGACGTCATGTCCGAGCGCACGAGTGCCATGGGGGACAGACCCGGGTACTTGGGAATGAGAAAAGAAGAAGGCGGCTCACGCGATCTGCCCGCCAAAGACATCGACCAAACACTCCAAGCCCATGCACACGCCGAGGACGGGGACCTTGCCGGTGAAGAATCGGATAGCGTCGCGGGAGATGCCCGAGTCGGTGGAGGGGTGGCCTGGGCCCGGGGAGATGATGAGAGAGCGGATTTGCAGGCTGGGAAGGGCGTCGGGGGTGATGGCGTCGTTGCGAATGACGGTGACATCTGCGCCGAGGAGACAGAGCGACTGGTAGAGATTCCAGGTGAAGGAGTCGAAGTTGTCGATGAGGAGGACGTCGAGCGGCCGATCGAGTTCCGCAGGGAGGGACATGGTGGCGTCCAATTCTCAAAGTCTGCCGTTATATGACCAGGCGAGCGAGGCGGGAGGTGCAGCCACGTGCGCCGATCATGATCGGGAGACGCCACGGGCGGTGTGTCAGCTCTTTGGACGCGCTGCACGCTGCTGCAAGACGCCGGCTCGAGCACTCATCATGGCGTCCCCTGCCACAGGCACCACCGCGCCCAGCCGCACCGCACCATGGGCTGCCTCCGCCGTCTCAAGTCCACTCCCGCATCCGCTGCATCCACCGCCCTCCGCGCCACCCCCAAGCGTCTCAGCACACCCAAGAATGCACTCGTCCACCCAGACTCCGTCGCCTGCATCGCACACTCCCCGCCGCCCGGGCATTCGACGACGATCTGCGGGCGTTATCGCTCAACGCGCTCACCGGGACCGTGCACTAGTAAGTCCTGCAAAATCATCGTTTCTCGCAGTAAAACAGCATACGATCAAAGGCGCAGGCGCGCGGCCTTGCCATCCTCCAAAGTCTCATGCTGATCTCCACTGAGCTCGATCCGGACGTCCTCGACGACGACACACCGCCGCTATGCGTCATTCACTGCCTCGCGACGAGTCTACCTCCGACGCAGGTGGTCCCTGCGCTACCTTCACGTCGCCCGATGCAAACCACCGTCGCGCCGCTGGGCGTCAGCACCGCTTTGCGCCCAGAAGGACACCCGCCCGGCCCACGCCCGCGCCGAGTCGACGAGCTCCTCGTCGATGCGCCCGCCCTAGGGTCATCGCCCCGCTCCAGTGCCTCGCCCGCCGCCTGCCCCGCCCCGACGCCAAGCAGCGCTTCCAGGACGCGCAGCACGCCATCCACCGCTGCTGGCGCTGCCGTCGCCCCGGTCGCCGCCGTCCCGCGCACGCCCATAGAGACAGAGCCATTCGCGTAGCTGCGTCCCGTCCGCCAGCCACGCGGGAGGCCGTGTATCGCGCCTCCATCTGCATTCCTGTTTTTGCCATAGAATATACCCGCGTCTGCACCCGCATATACATCCCGCGCATATCGTCATGTATTATTGCCGTAATATCATTGACCGACCGCTCCCGGTAGACCAGTGCCTAGCACGGCGTTTCGTCACAGAGCGCGCTCGACGCAACGGCGCCCGCGCCGCACGCGCACCGCCTGGTTCCACCTCCAGGCGTTCTTGCGGATGCCCACGCCGTCGCTCACGCGCCCGCTCCCTCCGTCTTCTCGCTCCAGTCACCCGCCGGCGCTCATCGCTTCCTCCGTGCTTGTTTCACCACCCCACTTGCTAGCTTACGCTGGATGAATCCTGGACGCTGGACCCCGCTGACGCCACGCCACGCCCTGTCCCTCATGCATCGACACGCCCCACGCTACACGCCACACACGCGTCCCCTTGCCATCGTTGACCGGCAACACAACGTCCCGGTCAGTTTCGCTCAGTCGCACTCCCTCACGAAGCACATCGCGCGTTCTGCCGCGATGGCGCGCGCTCTTCACGCGCACCCGCCTTACTCGACGGGGTGTTCATCCAGGTACGCACGCTGCCGCCGCGTCTTCTCGCTCTGACCGCGTAGCACACCTCATCCCTGAACGCGCTCGTTCGACCCCGCTGACGCCGCACCACCCGCTCGACTCCACGCCCCCGTCACCATTCGCTCGCAGTGTCCCTGACCGCGTCCAGCCGCACAGACGGCTCTTCACTGCCGCCGTTTCCTGCACACGCGACGCGCCGCCCGGGTATCCGTCGCCAGGCATGCGCTGCCGCCGTCACACTACGGTACGTAAATCTAATACATCACGCGCGTCCCCCCGCCGTCTCATCTCCCCCTCGCACCCCTTCGTCGATCCTCTCACGCCCTCGACGCGATCCCGCACCGCTGTCGGACGGCCAGGTCGCAGGCATCAGCACGCTTGTGAAGCAGAACGGCACCAGAGCGGCGTACCACGTACCACGTACCACGACCGGGCTACCCCGCGGTGTCTGGTCGCCACAGCGCGTCCACACGCGTGCTGTGCGACGTGTCCTGTCTGCCCGACCGGACGGATGCGCACCGGGTTTGCCGGTCATTCAATCTCGCCCGCGCACGCCTGCTGGGATCGGGTCGTCATGTCGTCAGTGAACAATGATAGCCGGGCGGCGTACCGGCGCGCAACAGCCATGACAGTCAGACCTCGCGCGGTGCGAGAGCATAGGGCATGTGCGGCGAGCACGTCTTGTGCCCTCTGCCTGCGTCTGCGTCTGCATCTGCGTCCTTCTATGACCGGCGGTGCGGCGCGACTGTGAGTACTTGGGTGAGACACAAAAACGACGCGCGACACACCTGGAATCCACCATCTCCCACGCAGCCAACATCCGCGCGGGGCGGACGGGCTCTTCCGCATGGCGTGCAGCTGAAACCGACGGCTGCCGTCCCGCTTGTCGTGCGACACGGTGAGCACGGTGTGCGCAACCATGGCGAGGAGCAACGTACCGCGTTGGGGATCTGCACTGCGTCGAGATCCGCATGGCGTGCAGTGGTAGTCGGCAGGCGGACGGCATGCAGCACGCGGGCACACGCGACCACGGCCGGGAACGCAAAGCAGACACAACGTCCAGGAGGCCACGGATGCCATCTCCCTTTATACCCTCGCATGCGATTACGTCCGCGTCGGGTGCGTCCGCGTCGCGCGCTGACGTACGAGACACCATCGGCTCGCGTCCGTGCAGATCGCACGCGTGCCCTGGCAACGTCGTGATGGGTCATATCCCCACGGCGCCGGGATGCTGGTATGTGGGAACGTGTACAGGCACGTCTGTCCCGCACGCCCGCCGTTCGCGCCATCTGCGCCCAGCACGAGTGGCGCGCCGTGCATCTGGGCATCATCATGGGGCGCGCCACGGCGGCTTCAGCCCATGCCTGTCTTTCGAGGCTGTCGACAGAGCATTCGGCAGTGTGTTGTTCCAGTGCCCACGGCGTTTGATCAGGCAGTATATGTATTCAACCTCAGTTTGTATATCACACTGTACGCGCTCGACTGTAATACAATCACAGCAGCGTCGTCGCACAGTCTGTGCTCAAGCCCGAGCCCATCTCCTCAACGACACGCAATTGCAGGCGCACACCACGCTTGGCGGCTGCACGCCGTGATTGGGCAGAGCAGGGAGGTCCCCACAACTCTCAGTTTGTCGGTCGTGTTGTAAGTCGACTAGCAGTAGCAGTGCGTCGACCCGGTCTCTGCCCGGCGCATGACGTCCTCTACAGCAGGCCCCTTTGCTCGGTCGCATTCCATCAAGCATTGCATATCACGCTTGTTCACTTTTCACATGCGCGACCTCATTCGACCGTGTGTTCTTTGGGTACGTACGATGTTGCCCGCCCCGTCTTCTTGCTCTGACTGCCCAGCGCAGCTCGTCTCCTTGTGAATGTGCTTGTTCGACCATCCCCCTCTTGATCCCACTCTCTGCATGAATATTGATCCCTGCTGATGTCGTGCCATTCCCCGGTTCCCCGCCTCATCCTTCATGCATTGATGTGCCCCACCGCTGCCATTTTCTGCACCTGGAATGCGCCTGCCCGGGTATGTGTTGCCAGGGACACGCTGCCGCTGCCATCACGCAACAGTATATAATTTTAATACATGATGCACCCGGCCATTTGATATCCATCTTGCACTCCTCCGACAATTGTCTCACAATGTTATCCTGCAACGCTCTGCTTGTTGGGCAATCAGGTTGTGGGCATCTGCATGCTTGTGAGGTGCAAAGACAATGTTGGAACAACTGGGCGAGCGCATGCCCGACTACCGGCTCGCCGACGTGCCGTGCTGCGGCGCAATAGTGCCTTGTTCCTTTGTACCTTATTTAGATAAGGTTTTGCTATATTAGGTCGAGTTCTCGCATGTAGTTTCCACGCGCGTTTGCCTCCCCATCTGTCACGAGTTGGTACGGCGTCTAGCCGTTTTTTAATTTTTTCCTTTTCACGGGCTCGAACCCGCAACCTCTGTACTACTTGCCTGATACGGACACATCATATCTACTGTACAATCAGATTAGATAGGACGGCAGTGCGTGGCACAGCTCGGGCTCCGCTGACACAGCCTCTCTGACTCACCGGCCCCCGGGGCCGCGTCAGCATGCTGCGCACGGACCAGCTGCGCACGGACCAACGCGCACAGCCTGCCCTTATCTCCCCATGTATATAAGACGGCCTCTGCTGCCCTAGGGACCTCAGTTTCGACCTCTTGTCCCTAGGTCAGTAAGCTCCTGTATTCTCTTACTTACCTTACAACTAACTAATACATTTCTTGTCCCTAGCCTTAGGTTCGAGCACTGCTCACCATCGCTTCGGTGAGAACTAGTCGAACG